TCTACCATCATGCTCACCATGCATCACAGTCGCATCATCAGCATCAGCACCAAATCGACGCATATTCACCCAAGATAAACGATTGCGCTGTTTACGTTCCATTGTTGCTGGATTACTATCCGACTGTGTAACGCTGCTGGTAGCCGTTACAGGGCCATTGTGGCTGGACGTTGCGTCTGCGCCAATCACATAAATGCTGGTCGCATTCGAATCAGTACGCAACCGCATGGCTTCTGATGGCGGCGGTGGTGGTGGTGTTGCTGGTGTTGCTGGTAAGACTATATTGTGAACGCCGCTAATATGTCGACGTGTATTATTCATTACCATTGGCATTGCTTGTTGACGTTGCTGCTGTTGCTGTAACTTTAAATGTTCGTCGAGTGCTTCGTCACTGGATCTGCTGCGATATGTTGTTGCTATCTGCATATTTAGCTGCTTGTGCCGCACCAGCCGCAACACTGCAGAATATTTCACACTACTCTGTGGCAAAATGTGCAAAATACGCAGTGGGTGACTGAACTGAACGGGACTGGATAGGGATTGCTGCGCCGCTGATGGACACAAAGAGATAACTGTTGTATGGATTCCTTATACTTCAACTCAACACAGCTGAAATGAAAGAGAAGATTGAGAATGCTATGAGTGCGGGGCATTTTGTTGTGATTTGCTTGAGATGTGATGAGTCCCTTAAAGAATCACAAGAATAAACAAGTGATTCATTGAATTCGGAGGAAGTAAAGCATGCGTGTCTCGGTTATTTTTGCTTGTTCTTTTTTTTTTTTGCTTTTAATTCACATTAGTATGCAGCCTCACAAACCGTTTTGCCTTGCCACACTTGCGCTCAAAGACAAAGCTAAAACCAGTTCTTTGCTTCTTGCTTTTTCCCCATCTGTTTTCAATGCGGATTTTTGCACAGATCGCATTTGAGCGCGTGTATATAAACACTTATACATACATCTATCTATCTCCACACCTAAGACAAAAAGCTTGTTTGATTAGTTCGCAAATGGCTGTGATTAGCGCTTAGCACGCCGATGCTGTGGCGTTGATGATAATTAATTTCATTTGGCTCCCTGCTCTGTGCTAACATAACATAATCAACAAAGTTAATGATTCACACATTTGTATGTTTTCCTTTGAAAATGCTGTTTTTTTTCTACTTCTGCTCACCCATTAAAGCTGCTTATCTGCTAAAGCTGCATATGGAATTCCAAATGTCAACAGCAGTGACTGAAAGTACTCGCAGAATGGCACCATCACTTTTGCTATCGTTTCGTTTATCTTTTATTTATCTTTTGATATGACAACATGACTTTTATTAAGATACAGATTGCTCGGAAGAATATAATTGAGCATTAGGGTGGTCCAAATAAAGTAAAGTCGAAATTTTAAAGCTCTGACCCCCCTATTTTTATACATATGTTATGTATGTAAATATCTAAACATTAGAGTGGTACAGAAAAGTATTTTAAAAAAGTAAAGTAGGAATTTAGATGCTCTCATCCCTTAGTATTGTCCAATATCGAAAAATATACCCACTTTTTTTTCTTTGAAATCAAAAAAAAAATATTTAGAGGTCGCTCAAAGTTTCACATGTATTTTATATGAAAAAAAAACGTAGAAATAATAAAGAATCCTTAAAAATCTTCAAGAAAGAAAGAGACTCAAATCTTAGTATTAAATTTTTTATTGGTTCCACAAAACCTTAAAAACTTCGAGCGCTTTGAGCGACCTCTAAATATTTTGTATTCATAAAAAAACACTTGGCATATTTTTTCGATCTAGAATCATCTTAGATGGTGAGAGCATTGAAATTGCGACTTTAACTTTCTCAAATTCATTTTTGGACCACCCTAACGCATATATGAATACAAATATTTATTTACATATCTTTCTGTACAATACAGGCACTTGTTTAACATAAATAAATGTAGATATGCGCTTGAATAAAATGCAGAGGCATTGTCACAACAGCTTAGTGGCGAGAGTGGCCATTGGAAGACGGTGCCTTTGAATGCTTGAATGAAATGGCTTTCAGAAGCATTTATGTTTATTAAAAGATAAATATAGTGTAATGATAAGCTAAGTGATGCGTTTTCACTTTATAATAATGACGGAATCTAGGCTCTTAATAAAAGCATTTCATACTTTCTTCGACGGCTTTTTAATCTCATTATTAAAAGGTTCTTTCACTTCAAAAAAGCAAGAGTATATTTTAGATAAGAGTTCTATGAGTGTACACTAACTATACAAACATACATACATATAATAATAATAGACGGATCCGGCCACGCCACGATGCGCATTAGTCTGGCTTAGAGAAACGACAGCACTTATTTCTTACAAATGCAAATGTCTAATCTCATAATTCATTTGATCACAAATCAATGCAAAATTTAATCGAATTAAAATACTCCAAATAAAGAAATAGAAATCGTGATACTAAAATTGTTGCGGATTAGTGGATTTTTTTTTTTAATTTCGATGTCAAATGGATATTAGTTTTCACTATAACCTCTATACCATTCTGTATGGGAGTAGAACTCTTGAGCCACCATTTAAGTCAAGTTTGGCGAACCTAGTTTAGGTTATGTTAGGTTAAAGTGGTTGCCACTGGACAAAGGGTGCACTTAGAGCATAAACATTAGTTCTTTGTAAAACTGTAGGCGTATGTGTTTGAAGCCCTAGACTATCTCCGAAATACACGCAGCAGCACAGGTTCCAGCCATTGTCCAGCCTACGCTGAGTTGACACGAGGCCCATCTTTCCAAGAGTACTTCACAATTAGTCAAAAGTACTTTAACTCTATCATTTGTCGGTCAGATAGGCTTAAGGTTATCACTACATTCTGAAGCACTCATATATGTAAGTTCGGCAAGGCCTACCTACAGTTCGTCGTGTTTTTCATTTTACTTGTATATTTCTCTGTTGGTTGATTCTTGTCCTAAGAATATTGTTTTCTTACAAGCCTATTTCCCTGAGTCTGACAGCAAAGTTCAAGTATGATAGCTGACGTGGCTTTCTATTTTATTTTTGAGATTTATAAGGATGAATCTAGGACGAGATATATGTAAACAAGTAGTGAGATACTTGAATTAAAGTTTTAATTAGGAGAAGGTCTGTTTTTCGGGATTAGATTTTAGTAAGGCCTGTAATTGTGTTCGTCCCGGTAAGTATATCCACGGAAATGATTCTGCACTTCCCCAGCCTTGGCAGCTCTCCATATATATATACAACTCTCTGCTTAGACTCGTCCACCATCTGCTCTCCTGCAGGATGCTAGAACCAGCTACGACTGGGTTATTTCTTTTTACAGCCTAGTGAAAATTACCACCTCTTTTTAGCCTTTTAACTACTTAGATGATACCAACTTAATTTTCAAAAATGCGGCAAAATAGTCGAGGAGTAGTTTATTTCGACCGTAAAACTTAAGGAAGCCCTTTTTGTGGATCGAGATAACATTAGGACTTTCCAGTTATACCAGATATGTTGGCGGCAATCTCCTCACCTATTATTTTTGACTATTCTTTACAACCCCATCCACTTTCGATAAGAAATACAAAGCTGTTTTGCCAACACGACAAGATCTCAGCATATGACTACCTACAAGGTCGGGGGAGTAGCCAAAAAAAAATGTACCTCGGGAAAAGGGCACGGTCGGTATACTAATAGCTATAGTACAGAGTTTTTTAGACATTAAACCTATCTAGTCGCCAATTTACGCTGAAACAGTTCCTATTAAGTGTAACCTTCAGCATTACCAGGATCTTCTTTTAATGAGCAACGCACTTCGTTCCTCTTAAGTATAAACTCTCACGGGTCACTTGCTGCCCCTTTGGCTTATATGTCATAATCTTCCTCATAGCGTTCTGTTAGATTTAAATGTTTGAATATTAAACTTACTCAAAAAAGAATTTAAAGTTGATTATGCAAAGACTTAAGAAACGAAATTTTCTTGCACAGAAAATGAAAAATTCTTCCATAAATGAACAGTTCACCCTAATGATAAATAATCTGGAAGTTGAAATGAATAGAACTTATAGGCTTAGAATAGACTTCCAGTAAGTATGGATTTGAGGACAAGAAATACGAGTATGATAATACATAGTTTTTATTTAACCTCTCATATAAAAATTCTTCAAAGCTTCAACAAAGCGCCGATTTCCATTATTTCCATTGTTGTATGAAAATCATTTTCATTAAGAAAGAATAGCACTAAGCGTATAGCAAAGATGCTTGAAAACACTTCATAAAAGCGAGAGCTTCATTTTAAATTAGTTCGATCCGTCCGGTGCGTCTTTGTTGTCTTTATTATCTGAGTCATGCAATTTTAAACATACATATGTATGTATATTTACACTAAATTAATTAAAGATTTTTAACTAAACAAATAATTCCCACGAATTGTGTGTAATCACAGTGTAATGCTTATCAACTTTNAAAAAAAAAAAAATGAATTGTATATTTTTCACAACCATGAAAATGTGTGATGAGCCATATGCAATTATTTACTATTAATTATCATGCACAAGTGCAAATGACAAGAATAAATGCAATGCGTTGTATAAACATAAATCAATGCAATAATGACTAATATTTATTTATGTATCTACTCTACGAGTAAATATGTACATACTCAATGATAATATTTTTTCGCTGATACGGCATTGACTGAACGCAATCACGAAAACCTAAAACACATTCAAAATTAAGATGCGCTATTAGTTTGTTAAGTACATACATATTCACTGATTGAAAGTTAGCAAATTGCCACAAGTAAATCTTTTAGGCCTTCGTATCACCGCATTAATTTGATCGTGGGGATGCGAAAATGCTCTAAAAAAAAAACAAACAAAATTCAATATTTGTGTTTGTTTTAAATATTGTGTCAAATTAAGTTCAAATTGCTTGCGCAGCCAGCAAGCAAATCGTAAATTTATTTAATGTTCATTAAAGGCGATTAAATTAAAATTGTTGTTTGGTGTTCGCTTTGTCGTTCGGTACCTTGTGCGGTGATGGCGCCATAAGTTAAATAAGCAAATATGGTCAAGCCAGATGCCTAGTTGTGGTTTTTTGAATATTTGGCAATTTGTGCATTTGTTTAAAATATAATTTTGTATAACCAGGGGCCGTTATGGATACTTTTTATTATCTATGTATATATTAATACACTAACATAAATATTGTCGTTTGGCGATTCTACCGAGCCGATTTCAAAACCATAACACTATTGAAATAGTATTTCTCTGCAGATGAGGAGAGGTTTTTATGGTTTCAAAATTGGTTGAAACTTACGGCCAAAATCGGCATTTAAAAATTTCCGTATTTGTATATATTTGTATTTAAGACAAAAAAATTAAGGCAAAATTTAAGAAAAAGACAAACATGAAAACAATGAGAAATACATAAATAAGAATTAGGTTAACTGAAAGTGTAAAGAAATTTTTGGAATTTTTTTATAGCAATCGAAATAAATTCAGTCGTAAAAAATGTGATCATCGAAAGTTATCAAGTCAGTGAGATTTATCGAATCATCAAAGTTTATAGTTATCGAAATTTATCGAGTTATCCGTGTTTATTGAGTTATCACAACATGTCGAATTATTCAA